TATAAAGTTCAATTCTAAGACTGCTAATTAGAAGACATTCAATTTCAATTCTATAATATTATCGTAACTTTTTGAGTATTAAAATATATACATATCTATTTATCATCATCTAAATTGATCATATTGAATTTTGATTAGTGTCAGTTTTGCATTTTCGCCAAGGAAAGATAGACTATACTTACGCCCTCTTATCGGAAAACGAAACAACTTGCACCCGCCATATTGTGTCTTACGTCATGTGCGTGTGTTACCGACAAATCCGTCGTTTTGTCTAGTTTTGCGTTTCATTTCTGTCTCCTATCTCTCTCTTGTTTATAAATCTCTTTGTCATTTTTTTTGTATTGTACTACTTACTACAGCTCTGTGGTTTGTGTTACTACATGGCTAGTTATGATCTAATAAGGAAAATAGTTTTTCCCTAATAGAAATATATTAATTAAGTTAGCTTGAACGTGATGGGGGATTAATATGACTTAAAATTCCGGTTTATCAGTGCCGTTATAATTTCATTAAAAACATGTAAAAATATAATGTAGGGTAGACTCCTAAGATGTTAATTTGTTGGCTTTGTTTTATCTACGTTTTCAATAAATGTTATTAGTTATTAAAATTGTGTTAAAAAATCTATTTCTAATTTAAATAGATAAGATATAATTATAATAATAATTTAATAACAATAATATCACATATATTACTATTTCAAAATTTCATGTTATAACCTCTTTCTTGTAAGCTGTAACACAAACTACGGAGTTGTAATTTTATCCACTATAAATTCTCACATTCTTCATTTGTAAATATTCCAAAATGTTGTCTAATACCTACTGATTTTTTTATAAAATGGTGTTTTCTGATTGGACGACGTCCCACAAGCCTAGTCACTACTTATTTTTGTTTATTTCTCAGCTCAAAAGATGCGCAAAACCATCGGTTATGATTATTTTCAGCAAGCTTTTGTGATTTATCTGCTGTTGATGTGTACTGTAAAATTCTAAAACAAACCAACCATTATTTTATTTTTTAAAAAATCCATTATTTTAATTGTAATACTCCACAGTTTTGGAGATTTTTACAAGTGGTTCTTTAGTGTATATTTACAGTCAAAGCACATCACTAAAATTTTTAAAATTAAATTTATCAAATTTATTTATTTATTTTTAGTGTACACTTTCTTCGAAGTTACTTGTACTATCAAATAAATAAGAATCATATTCCGTGCAGTTATGTAATAAAGTATTCCTTAATGTCATTAGTTTGGCTTGAAAATAGATATCTTTATTGATCCTGATTTGTAAGTCTATTTAGATACAGCCTGTCTACATATGATCATTTGCACTGAAATCTGCGCATATATAATCTGCGCATTATATTATTTATATAATTAAGAAGCGGGGTTGTGAGCTCCATTGACATTTTGTTTCAAAAAGCGACCAAGATTGCTGACCCTGGCTACTAGCATATCTACGAAATTGTAGTCAGGGGGTGAAACGCGGATAGTTAAAGAAAAACAAAGATGAAAATTCATTCATTAACTTTAACCATTACTCCTACGTGGAGTATAGAACTTCAATCAAATTGTTCTAGATCTCCCAACATTGTTAATCATTCCCAATGTTATTCTGGCCTTGTCTGTTTGCTTTATGATATATTGCTCTGTGTCTCCGTTGGTTTAGTACAGACCAGGGGCGGGAAAGTGAAATAGCAAAAGCGGTTCCACCGTTTCCACGGAAATCTCAAATAAAATAGTTCCAGCCCTAGCCACTAGGTGGTAGTGCAATTAATTTTTAGGTTAAGAAGTTGCTACTAGTTATTGCCAGATGGCGTTAAATCAGAATTTTTTTGTAGTTTCCGTAGTAGGCCATTGTCATATTATTGTCAAATTCTCAAAAAATATTGTCGTTGTCATAGCGCCAATCATAATATCAAATAATATGATTATCAAAACGTTTTTCAAACTATAATTTGTCATATGTGTTTTAATTAGACAATTCCTTTTGTTTGTGGCCCTAAAAATATAATGTAAGTCTTTTATTTTTGCCATCATTTAAGTACCTATTTATATTTACTCCATTTACAAAACTTTGAGCGTATTACGTTGGTCTTGTTTTATTATAATAAACGATGTTTAAATATTTGACTTATAAATAAAAACTTTAAATAATAAATAATATTTCACATGTTTGGCTTTTAATTTTATTTAATAATTGTATAAATTATACTGTTAAATCTTATTTTTTACACATCACAACGATACGATTGTTATTAGTATTGTTGAATTTGTGTAAAAAATAAGACTCAACAATCAAATTTAATTATTTTAGAGTAAAATTCAATAAATACGCTCATTTAAAAAGCCCGCGCTTCGATCCATTTAAAACAAGCCCTACTCAATAGATGGCGCCACTTCTGTAGAACCATTTTTCAGTATGGCAGAGTCCATTCTTTTTCTAGCTAGGTATATTCTTTGGTACAGACTCCCATCGATTTAGTTTTTCTAATATTGGTCTTAAGACCTGCAGTTTTAGCTTCCTGTGGTAAGTCAATTAGTCTTGATGCCATATCCGCGTGGCTGCCGAAGCACGTGTGACTGGGAAAATAGACAGATGTTATTTGCATAACTCAGATGCCCCAACATGCTAAAGAGGAAGTCCACCATATTCCATGATGGTTCTTGGAAATTGTTTCCCTATGAACATCATCTAAGAGGATCTAAAAAGAAATAGCGATATGACTCAACTCTGCCTTACCCTACTCAGAAGATTGATGGATTTACTCTGTTGATACTTATGTAAACATGACCGGCTAGTATAGTCTGTGAAACGAATAACTTTGAATTTGACAGTTCCTGCGGGCTTTTCTAGGGTTAATTTTATTAGGTTAGCAACTTGCGGCCATGCTAGCGCAATGCCGTCTCTAATAGAACAGTCCCCGAGCGAGATTCATGACGTCACGCTGGTTAGACACTACGGATTAATTAATATGTTGTAGAATATTAAAACACTTAAACTATCTACATTTATTATGGCTGAAATCGTACTCCATAGTCAATGTAGATAGTTTTAGTGTTAAGAATAATAATTTTCAAAATTATGTGGTCATCTTTTGACAAGTTTATATTAGTTTATTAATTGCAGTAAACAGTATGTGGTGTGTGGTGTGAATATTTTATATGTAATTTTTTGGATTATATTCGACACTATTTTTTTCATATGACACAATACTGATGAAGGCTATAATGTTAGCCGAAACGTTTTTTTTAAATCAAATAAAAATAATGAAAAACCAAATGAAATCTTAATCAGCGTTTTTCCCGAACCTAAGTCCCAAGAAAATCAAAAATTGTAGAATAATTTTACGTATAAAATGACAGCGATCTTTATTTCATAGCCATCGCTGACACCTTTTTTTTCTATAATATTGTATTATTTGCAAATATAATTTTTCGAAGATTGATACTTGCAAAATATACATATAAATTTTGTGAATGCAAATAATAATACATCACTATTAGTAGATATTGAATGTTTTTTGTTAAATTAGATCGATTTTCAAACCCCAAAATTTAGAATATATTTTACATTTTACCCAATAATTTATGTACCTATTCATTATTTGTATATTGTAAAACATTTGCTGCATTTGTATGGTTTATTGTTTATTTGCCAAAGTATTTATTACTATAAATAGGTATATATATATATATATATATATATATATATATATATATATATATATATATATATATATATATATATATATATATATATATATATATATATATATATATATATATATATATATATATATATATATATATATATATTTTTTTTTTTTTGTTTCGTTTCTTTGACCTGTATACTATATATTTTTGTTTTCACTCTTGGCTTTAGGTCGTTGGGGTTGCAAAGATGTTTCTAGATTTAAGTAGATTTAAGTTTTTTTTTAAGTAGACATCGGGTATTGAACCTATAAATGTGTTTTATACAGAGAGATCTGCAAGGAAATACGTACGTGCTCGTAGTAAAGTGTAATGTCCAAAAACAATTAAAAACAATAGTTAATATGTGTTATTGTGTTGTCCAGTTTAACAAATTTTAACTCTGTAAGAATCTACGTTCAAGAGGCTTGAAAAAGACATATACTGTCGAAACGTCGTCACAAAATAAAAAATAATGAACAAAATCTAGAAACATCTTTGCAACCCCAACGACCTAAAGCCAAGAGTGAAAACAAAAAAAAAAAAAAAAAATATATATATATATATATATATATATATATATATATATATATATATATATATATATATATATATATATATATATATATATATATATATATATATATATATTGTATTTATTAACTGTATATTATGTATACTTCATGTATAACTAATATCATTTTTAAAATACAAATCAAAAATACGAGGAATAATTATGTTTTCCATGTATTCTACAACATATTTATTAATCCGTAGTATCTAACTAGCGTCACGTCATAAATCTCGCTTCGAGGCTGTTCTATTAGAGACGGCATTGGTCTGATATTTAGAAATGTCAAAAGCTGACGACATTTTACTTTTGACAATTATGACATTTTGTGTTGATTTTTGCAAGAAGAGGAAGAACTGTCACTTGTTTTATTATTTTCCTTTTCTATTTTACGAAATTAAAAAGAGTTACCTATCTGATTCGTGCAGGAACTCAATTTAAAGAATATCAGTAACTTTTTTGATAGAGGAATTTTATATTTGCCATGTTGGTAAAAAATAACGGTCAAAATTCAAAGTTATTCATTCTATAGACTATAGCAAATAATCTGTGGATCAAATTTTCAGACCTTCATACCTAAACTAGTTCTTATATTAAAACTGAATAAACAAAATTACTCTTTTTTCCTGCATTTTGGTATCAATAAGTTTTGTGATATGCTTTGACTGATCGGGGTGGGCTAAATACTTCTATCTGCTCGACGGACCAAAAAAATATGGAGGCCTTTTTCAGTCTCCCGACACGCAAGTGTGGCAGAACGATTATCTCCAAGGGACCGGATGCGAGATGTATACAGAGACTCTGTCCCCCTCCTTCACGGGCATGACCTTTCCTCAGGCCAGCGAGTAAGGCTCCCTATTCACTAACACGACCATTCACAGCTCACACTAAATCTTACCTGAATCAACATAACTAATCAATAAAATAACAGTTGCTTATTTGATCAAGATATCATACTGATGCCACATTGACTAACAGCATCTTTTAATGCTAACATTGACTAGCAAAAGTTTATTTCAAAATAAGTTGTTGGATTCTTTTACTAGCGTAGATGCGCTAGTAAAAGAATCCAACAGGGTAGTCAGATATTGGCTCCCCTGTTAATTTTACAAATTCGCTGTAAAAGAGCCAATATCTGGACAGTTCAAAATTTGCATGCGATTTCGATGTTTCCAACCACTATACCACCACCCGGTATAAAAAATTATAAATAAATTTGAATAGAATATATATATACTATCTTGTCATCTGTGGTATTCATCAAACATTTCAAGAAATATTTTACTTAAACATATTATAAAACACATTGTTGTGAACTCTGTATTACATATTGTAACTAATTGTAGTGCGTTAGAAAATATTGCTACTCGTTTTTTTTCTTTAATAGACTAGTTTCTCATGAGAATTATGTTTTTAGTTATTTTTTCTCTACCAATTTTACTAAAACGAATTAATCTAACTTAGGGGGATAGAGTATGAACTTTTTGATTCTTTGTATATACATAGTCGCTTGCAAAAGCTATTTATTGTAAATACTTTCGCTTAATTTTCAGTTTAACCTATACTATGTGGCACGCAGACTGCTTTAAATGTACCCAATCGATGTTATAAAAACCCGTTCCATCCAGATATACGTTGTGTTATCATTTTCCCACCACTTATAGTCATATTCACTAATATTTTTTCAGATCTATAATGTCGATACAGCCAAACGAGTCAGGAAAGATTTCGGCAGACGACATTCAAAAAATGACAGAAAAATATCATATGATCGAAAAAAAAGGCATCATTTATGTAACCTATACTTTTTTTAATGGCGCTTACTGTCAGTTGACCTTAAGAAGATTTTTATATATTTTCATACTGAGTGAAAATAATTTTTAAATAAATGTAGTTTAAAATTCGAGAAAAAATATTTTTTTGGAAATGTGTCTGGAAACATTCTGTCCTTTTTAACAAATAGTGTTAATTTTTCACAAGTTTTTTTTATCAGTTTTTAGTAAATGATGTCTAGAAATTGACCTCGCCAAAATTACCATTTATTGTCATTTCTCAGCCGTCCTTGACGCCCTTTTTTCGATTATACGGTATTATTTACCCGTTGGGACGATGCTTTATGAAAATTAATATTCTAATCAAATACTTGCTTTAAACGTACTGTATTATTAAAATTAGCCTTTCAGTTGTTATTTCTATACTTAAAATCTACATATATAAAATACTAATGTTTATCTGTGTCGTCTCTACTAAAGTAACGACTTGCTCTAGAAAGTTGTTTTTTTACTAAAAGATAGCTAATTGGCTCTTCTAAAAACTGTCGTCGTTGGATTTTTTGTTTTTCATTTAATTAAAAAAAAATAAAGAGTATTTTTTTTCCTGATGTCGTGGCGGATGCGCCAGCCTTCAACTAGTTATTTGCGAGCTGTTTCTGAAAAAAACTGATAATATTATGATTTTGGTTAATTCTATATAGTCAAATAACTTTGTAGATATTTCAAAATCCTTTTATATTCAATCCTTTTTTTTTCAAAAATTGAAAAATTTAAAAAAAAGTATTTTCTTTTTTAAAGTTACGTGCATTTATTTAAGACTCACCCTGTATATATAGGGTGTAAATGAGTAACTAAAAAATATATATTTGTCTAATAAGAGCGAATATGACTATAAGATTGCTTTAGTTTATGTTAAATGTTATACAACTCATGGTTAAATTTAAAAAAAAAACTTTTGCATGTAGAATATCAAACAAAAGGAAACTTTTCTTTCATTTTAACTACACACCTAAATAAAGATATCTAATAATAGATTCAAAATTATCTTGTGTAACTAAAAATTGTTTTATCAAACCAATCTAGATTGTGCTTTACGAAATTGAAACTCCTACTGCTGGCCATAGAAGTTAAAGGCATAGAAGGTGCCGATACTAAGATCTCAATCAATCCAAGAGGCGCCAAAATTGTTGCCAATACACAAGGTTTTTTCATAGCACAGTCAGCAGATGAAGTTAAAAGGTAAGCTTAATTTTTTTCAAGTCAAAAATTCATATCATTTAGGAATTATAATAAGTTCATATTATTGCAAAAGATATCTAAAAGTCTAAGAGGGCGATCATTAGTTAAGACGGTCCTACACGATGTGGCGAAGACCTTCAAACGTTGGACGCACGGCATTCGCCACATCGTGTGGGAGCGCAAAAATCCATGTGTCGAACGTTCGAAGCAAGTTCGGGCTCTTGTCGGTAAATTTTACGCGAGTCAAAGGATCTTCCAACGTTCGAAGTAATGTTCGATGCGCTCCTACACGAGAGTCTTCACGTGGCTGATATTTTACTAGGGATCAGTAGCGGCCTCGCTTTTAATGTTAAAACGTTGATCAGGCTGAACATTTTTCTTGATTTGTTCTTTGCCAGAAATATGTAAGTCATACATAGGTATTTATAGAAAGATTAATTATTGGTTTTCTTTGTGTTAATAAATATCTGACAGAATTTTTGGTTATTACCTACATTACTTTAGTGAAAACACTTAAATTTCCTTTTATTCGTTCACTTTTTCTATTCATCAAAATTTTCTTCTTATATTAGATATGTGAATAACTTTTTACTTTTTACTAAAATTACTTTTAAAATTTTCCGTTTTTAGTTAAAATGGAGTGGAATAATCAAATAATAATGGAATTTATTTCGATTTACGAGAAATATCCAATTATATGGAATCCCATAGGTATATCCCATATGGAATCCCAGGCATTCCCGAGCATAAAAACCGGAATGCCTTAAATGATGCTTGGCGTGAAATTTCTCAGGAAATGAGTATAGACTTGTCAGTAGCAGAGTTGAAGAAAAAAAAAGAATCTGTAATGGCAACGTATAGAACGTTGAGGAGGAAAGTTATAGATTCTTATACAACTGAATCTGGGAGTGCAGATATATACAAACCATCTTGGTTTGCTTATGATGCTATAGACAGATTCATAAGAGTAACAAGAAATAAAATCCTGTTACATCTTCTTTTTCTTTTCTTCTGTTGCTACAGTTTAGCGCAACTTAAAACTATCATACCAGCGGCAATCCCAGCACTAAATATATTATCCATATCTGCTCAAGCCAAGAGTACGTACTACACTGAGTTAATTTCACAAAGGTAGCGCCAGGTTTGCGTCCAACGTTGGAACGAACGTTCGAAGCATCGTGTAGGAGACACACTCACCAATTGTAATATTGTCGAAAACTGTGTCAAATGTTGGTTCGAACGTTCGTTCGAAAGTTGGACGCATCGTGTAGGACCGTCTTTACTGCCCTCCACCACTGATGAGATGTCATGAGACTTTTCTGGATCTCCTCCCCTATTTTCACTATGAGATATTTCAGAATTTTGGGTATAAATGTGATGGGTTAATTTAAAAAACACAGTTTGTTTTATTATTTTTATTAAGACTAGTATTTAAGATTGTTTAGATCGTAATCTAAAATCACATTGACAACATTAACTAATAAATGGGTTAATTCAGTCCATGGAGACTAGTGCACGATCTCAAGAGTCACAGGTGGTGCCAACAAATCCATGTGATTTTCAGTAAAAGTATCTGCTACTTTACTTTTGCTCTGATTTAACCACTATAAACCAAGGTTATTAAATTAAACAGGTTGCCTCGTAACTTGACATTGGCCGCCATATTGCGCGTCGTCTTCTGTTAGTGGAGTGCCCAGAGACTTTTACCTCGGAATTCAATTACTGTGAATGTATTGATGTCCTGTCCCTCTTCCTTGATTTACTCATGTAATTATTGAACGTCCCCAAAGAAAAATAAATTTGCTTTTCATAATTTGCAATGGTATGAGTCACCTTTTCCAATAACAAATATTTCTCTTGATTTATAACATATTTTTTTCTCTCTCTGTATATTTCAGGGCGTGGTTTTACTGCAAAGCGTGCCACGAGGACATCAAGGACGAAACACTGATCAAGAAATGCAAATGTAAAAATTGTGAGTTGTTTTGTGAATCCTAATTTTTTTATTGCATCGTCTTATACCTCCCATTTTGTGTCTAACCCGCAGATATATTTTAATTTCCATTCTTTTACACACATGTTGTAAATACCGTCTTCGTATTATCTCTGTATTCTTTCTCTGTTTATGGAAAAGTATACTTAGTTCAACTATATCAAGAGCGTAAACTCGCAAAATAATAACATTAGGTAAAAACAAATTGACTAAATATGTTAAAAAATTACTTTTTATTACAAATAATGTTTTCTGTAGTTCTATCTACATAATATATTTTTAGAGATAGAAGAAATTAATAACTGTAATTTTAATTCGCGTGATTTTAAGCCTTACAGGGGAGATTAATAGGTAATAACGATTTATTTTATACGAGGTTTACTTGGTTGGTATTCTTGGAATTAACAGGCATACCTAATACATATTATTTACTTATTCGTTTATTTTGATGCTGGTTACAATAACAGCTGATAAATATTCGAATTGTTTAAATTGATTGGCAACTTAGCGGACAAAATCAGAATAGCCAAACTATTTCAATCATTATTTAAAATTTATATAATAAATTTAGACAGTTTTTTTTCAGTTTTATGAAGATTTATAGTTATTTTTTGTGGGATACCATCCTATTATGAATAGGTTATATAATCTAATCAAACAAACCAATGCAATTTCAGTAGAAGTCTTATTTTAAGTGAAAAAAGTATTAAATTAATTTTAATGGTTTTAAGAAGTTAGAAAATTATATACAGGGTGAGTTTTAACTAAAGGCACATATTTATATTTCGGTATATCTCGATAAAGGAAACATACTTTCGCTTCACCGTTTTTCAAATAAGTCCAGAATCTTTTTATGAAAAAATTTTGCTTAAATTTTGAGAACTACGTAATTTTTTCTGGGGTTTCTTTTTTGTGTATTTAATCTACTACTTATGTTGCTATTCTATCAAAATAATAAGTGTGTTTTTTAACTAAAAATAAGAAAATACCATATTTCCAAAAAAAATCCTAAAAAACCAAATAGACGTGTTTCTGGGGTCGAAATATAACCCCACTAAAAATATTTGCAGTTATTTCAGACTCACCCTGTATAAAATATTAAGTTTTGGATTTCAGTGATCCAGAAATGTACAGTATGTTGTCTAAATCATAATATTGTAGTTTATGCTCTTGAATATTATGTCTTACCTTCCCTTCCACCGATTTGTCGATCTGAATCTAAAATTTATAATGACTTTTAGTGGCACAACAACAACGTAATTGGTCCAAAGATCTAGGTAATATATATGATCTGTATATTGACACTAGATCGATTCTAGATCATGCCTGCGGATCAGCTGTATTTTTATTATTGTTCTCGATTTATTATTACTATTACTATTATTACTTTTATTATTTTAGACAGTCAGTTCACAAATAAAATAACGACTAACAAAGATACCGTACGATCGAAAAACACGGCGTCAAAGACGGCTGGAGAATGACGATGATAATTTTGGCGAGGGCAATCTCTAGTCCCGTCATTTACTAAAAATTCACATACAACTTCTCAAAAATGAATACTAATTATATAAATTACGTCCTTCTTAAAGCCAACTGGCAGTAAGCGCCATTATAAATATAAACAAAAGTACGAGGCAAATAAATGACGTCTAGGGGGCTTGACCTCGCTAATATTATCATCGATCGTTATTCCCAGCCCTTTTAGACGCCGTTTTTTTTTCGGTAGTATGTTATTTTAAGTGTTTTATATTCGTTCACTTATTTGGTATTCCAGGAATTATTCTGAATAATATAAAAATATTTATTCCTTAAAATAATGCCTACAAAACATCTTTTGGTGAAAAAAATGGAAGAAAAATAATTCGTTATTTTATTTGAGACGACATATATTATCTTTGCCACATTGAAATTTATTGTTACCCCTTTATGCATTCTACCATTCACCTGTTTATATTTCTATTTCACCGTTCTGTTCCAAAAAGAGAACCTCCCTAGTAGTTTTACGTTTTTATAATCGATCCTTTGGTCTAGGGATGTCCAGTTTATATGAAAAAATATCGATATATGTTGTTTCGATATTCTATCGACAAAAACGTCTGTATTGCTATACAGGCTGTTCGAAATTTCAGAGGATGATACCTCATCAAAAATTATAGAAGAAAGGTTAGAAAGTGCGTAGTTTTAATTTAGATACAATGTAGTGATGGGCATTACGATTCTTTTTAGTGAATAGAATCATACGATTCATTTGAACAAATGACAAACACATTTTACAATATAAAAAGATATTTTTTGTAAATAACTTTTACATCGCTTGCATTTTATATCCATGATGTTTTTTGTTTAAATTTTGTAAACCACTGGCTTTTTTCTGGTAAATTTAATCTACTACCTATGTTGCCATATTATCAAGAAATTATGAATTTTAATTAAAAACTAAAAATTTTTAAAAAATGTCAAATTTTCAAGAAAAAAATTTCGTGAAAAATCCTCATAATCGTGTTTCTGGGATCGAAATATACTATCCATAAAAATATTTGCATTTATTTAAGACTCACCCTGTATAATTCTAATATTTATTTTTTAAACGACCCGTATTGTAAGCAATGAATCAATTCTTACATCTTAAACGAACGAATAGTAGAAACAAACGAGTCGCTTTTTTACCCGATTCAATTCTTACGACTCTTTTTTATGACTCGTTTATTTAAATTTTATGGATTTGTACTGGCCACGATTCAATTGAATGAACCGTATTCTAAGCGGTGAATCGAATCTCACGATTCATTTTTAATACTCATTCAAATGAACGACGTTCAATCTCTGCCCACCTCTAATACGGTATGTTAAACATTAAAAAAATGTAATTATCTTAAATACTCTGTGACCGACTTACTTCCAACTTGTCAGTCATATTTCTAGCCTAATAATTTCCTAATTTAGACTTATTAAGCTTTTTGTGGACGTATAATATTTAATAAATTATTATAAATATTTATGTAGATTAAAATATTTCGGAATTCTCGACATAATTTTCAAATATCGATATTTCTATATATCGATATTTTTGGACATCCCTATTTTTGGTCTTCGAGACGTCGCCCTTAGCATTTATTTATTTTCGTCAATCTGCACACCAGCCCTATTTAAAGTTTTTTACTTGTTTTATTTACCATTATTCTCTGATTGGTCGAGCCGCCAGACTTATTTTTTATCTCTTTCTAGGCTGTTGAATGTGACGGAATGTACATTGACACACATTCTGTACCCTTTTGCACATTAAATGCATGGCTAGATTGAGTACCTATCTATCTCGATTACTTATTTTTGTTCTGTGGCAAATTGATCGCGTTTGGGAGGTGTTTTCGTACATCGAGTAATAATCGGTAGAGATGTGCCGAGATTTGGTTGTTTTTTACTGTTCTGCATATTTTACAGATGTCGGAATGATGATGATGCAAACGGGTATGGTCAAACAAGGCCTAAACGCCTACCAAAGATACATCGATGGTAGGAACACGAACTTATCACACACGCTTTGCGCTTAAAGTCGGTGTATTTTTGTTATTTTTGCGAAGTGTCTCTCAGTTTAGGTGGTATTTTGTGCGAAATTGTGTCACATATCTATATATTCATAATAGTATATTCATTATAGAGTATGATAAAAAAAAGATGTCAAAGACGACTGGGCAATGACAATCGATGATAATTTTGGCGAGGTCAATCTCTAAACATCCTTTTCTAAAAATTAACATAAGACCAACTTAAGACAGTAAGCCCATTGAAAAATATTGAAGAGTACGGGCCAAGTAAATAACATATAGGGCTTGACCTCGCCAAAATTATCATTGATTGTCGTCTCAGTCGTCTTTGTCGCCTTTTTTTCGATCGTATGGTATATTCCGAGTCAAGACAGTGCATGATAACGAATATTTAACAAAGGCGTTGGTACATATATTCCATACCAAGTAGAGAAGTGTTTTATTACTTTCCATTTTTACAACAGTTCGGTTTTATAATAATTCTATAAAAACCTTATACAACTCTTACAAGATTGCTTTATACAGGTTATTCAACTACTAAAATTGTTTTATAATGCATTATTATAGCGATTTAAAAGAAGTATTTTATTTTATAAATGAAAAATATTAGAGCCACATAATATTTTAAGAAAATCTAGGCTGTGTAGTTGTAAAATGGAGACTACTAACAAATCGGCTTAAAATAGCTTAGGATTATAGTATAAAAAATGTGTTAACAAAGTTTTATTGTAGAATGAAACGATATACAATAAAACTGTTTAATATCGAATAATATTTAAACATTACACAACTCTTCTTGACAAATTCATTTTGAGAATAGTTTTATATTGCAGCGCAGTTTAACATAATGAAACATTATACAGTTCTTTTAAAACAATCTTAGGTTACCATTTTATAATGTTGTAACTACTATAGTTCTATAAAACTCTTATGCTATACGTATACAGGTCTTAAAAAATAAAAAATAAATTATTGTATAAACTTACCTAAAAAAGTGTTATATATCATTATAAAACATTATAAAGGAAATTATCGTACTATATTATACGATATAGGATATGTTGTAAAACTACGCTAAAATCATTCATTGAAACAAATTCTTTATAAAACAAAATGGTCGCAATAAAATGCTTGATCAGAAACAGTAATTAAAACAACGCTATTTGACTGTTATAGACTAATTCAATCCTTTTAGAACAATATTTTGCTAGTTGGGGCTGGTATCTCATTGTAGAAAGACCAGAAGGAAATGACAGAAAGTTAATACATTATTGTATATGTGGTTACAGGTTTCATTCAACACTTTTGTTACACTTCCATTACCTGAACCTGTCTGTCAATGATTGAAATATATACGGATTATATTATTATAAATATTTTTATATGTGACACGATGAAGTCTATACTCTATAGGGTTGTTCTTTATTGTAGATTCTATGCACAGGTCTGCATTTTTTGACCCAAACGTTTTTTTTTAATTGTAATTAGCTTTAACTTACTCTGATCCGTTTACTAGTAAATTATAAACATTTAAGTTGAAAATTGTAAACTAATGCAAACGTTTTGACAATAAAGAATAGGCTTTATGTAAGCTGAGTGTTTAGACTTTATTCTGGGGTATATTTGTATTCAGGACACAGAATTGAAAACGTACTACTAATTCAAAACTAAAGCTAAAAATGATATATATACTTCATACGTAAAATATTATTTCAATATGACCAGTGATTCATCAATCTAGTCAGATATAGTCTGTAAAACGAATAACTTTGAATTTGACAGTTCCCGCGGGCTTTTCTAGTGTTAATTTTATTAGGTTAGGCAACTTGTGGCCATGCTGAAGCAATGCCGTCTCTAATAGAATAGCCTCGGAGCGAGATTTATGACGTCGCGCTAGTTAGATACTACGGATTAATAAATATGTTGTAGAATACATGGAAACATAATTATTCCTCCAATTTTTGGTTTGTATTTTAAAAATGATATAGTTTACATGAAATATACATAATATACAGTTAATAAATACAATATATATATATATATATATATATATATATACCTCTATTTATAGTAATAAATACTTTGGCAGACAAACTATGAACCATACAAATGCAGCAAATGTTTTACAATATAACTGAAATCGTACTCCATAGTCAATGTAGATAGTTTTTGTGTTAAGAATAATAATTTAAAAAAATATATGGTCATCTTTTGACAATTTTATATTAGTTTATTAATTGCAGTAAACATTATAATATATAAATAAATTTTGTGAATGCAAATAATAATGTATCACTATTAGTAGATATTGAATGTTTTTTGTTAAATTAGATCGATTTTCCCAAATTTAAAATATATTTTACATTTTACCCATTATCTTATGCACCACCTATTCATTATTTGTATATTGTAAAACATTTGCTGCATTTGTATGGTTCATAGTTTATTTGCCCAAGTATTAATTACTATAAATAAGTATATATTATATTGTATTTATTAACTCTATATTATGTCTATTTCATGTAAACTATATAATTTTTAAAATACAAACCAAAAATACGAAGAATAATTATGTTTTCCATGTATTCTACAACGTATTTATTAATCCTTAGTATCTAACTAGCGTGACGTCATAAATCTCGCTCCGTGTCTGTTCTATTAGAGACGGCATTGGTCTAATATTTAGAAGTGTCAAAAGATGATGACAGTTTGTCAATTATGACATTTCGTGTTGATTTTTGCAAGAAGAGGAAGAACTGTCACTTGTTTTATTATTTTCGATTTTCCTTTTCTATTTCACGAAAGTAAAAAGAGTTACCTATCTGATTCGTTCAGGCACTCAATTTAAAGAATATCAGTAACTTTTTTGACAGAGGGATTTTATATTTGCCATATATGTTTGCCATGTTCGTAAAAAATAACGGTCAAAATTATTAAATAATTATTCATTTTATAGACTATACATATACACAGTCTCTTAAAATAAGGATATAATTAAATAGAAAAAATCTTTAATTAAAATAATATAGTAAAGTATCTATTAAAGAGCTGTCTAATCAAATTTGGGTTGGATTGATGATAATGGCTCTTTATTGTAATTTTATAAACTTCAATTTGACACTTTTATAAAAGTCTTTAATATATAATGTTCATTTATTTTTATTCTGTGTCCAAACAGTAGCAAATGTCAGTGTGAGCTAGAGACGTACAAAATTGTTAGCAGCTCAAAAAAATATTAGAAGATTTACCTTTCCAGTAAAAAACGGTATTTTAGGCACAAAAATTAGCACTGGCTAGTATTATTCGCTGTATTATCTTCCTTATTAACTTTTTGGTGAAAAATAAGTACTCTCACAAAGTATAAGTTTTTTTTAAGTTAGTTCTACTTAAATAAAGAAATCTCCTTCAATTTAGTTGCGTACAATCAAACTTATTATCGTTTGAATCGTATAACACAAAATACTCGCAACATGATACTCTGTAAAAAGAACCTTATCAATCCAAGTCCCCTCCTTATCTCTATCTAGTTGTTGTCTTTCTTTCTCTCTTTTTTTCTACTAATTAACAAGTTTATTTTTTGGACGCAGTGGCAACGTTTCGAAAAGGCGTTCGGGCCATCCAATTGGTCGGCCGAACAAGTACGTATTCACAAATTTACTCTCGCATATACTATATCTTTTTATTTTTGGCAACATATACACCATCAAAATAATTGTATATCTTTCTGTCAAATGTCGATCGTTGGATATTCTGTCTACACCTAACAACATTAAATGTTTTTGCGTTGTTTAAAACATAATTTAAAGGTTATATCAATTCGACTATGTTCTACTTCATATTTCAATGTTACTGTCAGTTCCTGTTTCACCGGAAATTACTACAACTTTTGATTTTTAAATTACAACGTCGGTATTTTTTTACTTTATTTTATAGAAAATGACATTCTGAATAGAATGACATATCATATTATGTCAACTTTAGACATTTTAAATTAAAAAAAATAGTATTTTAAATTTCAATTTAGAGCGCCATGGCCATAAATGTTACGACAATTTGACTAGAAACAACTAATTTGACAAAACCAACCCAACCCATATCAAGTGTGTGATACCAAATTATTTTCAAATTATACTTTATACGTTGTATATATAGGGTGCTACAAATTCGAGGTACGAGCATTGGTATCTCAACACGAACAGCAGAGGCTGAGATAGGTACCAAAATTGTAGTTGTTAAAACAACGCAAGGAACTCCACAAAGTGGAGTGACCTCCTCCCTACTGTGGAGCTTGGTAGTGGATGAACTACTGGAAGAATTAACTCTAGCGGGAATACACTGCATAGGGTATGCAGATGACATAGTCATCATTGCACGGGGGAAACATGAAGGCACCCTGTGTGATATTATCCAAAGAGGACTCCGCATTGCTGAGAGGTGGTGTAGGACTGTCGGGCTGAGTATTAACTCAGATAAAACCGCAGTAGTGCCATTCACCAGAAAGCGAAGTTTGAAAAACTTGAAAAGAATCCATCTAGATGGAAAGGAAATACTGCCATCACAGGAAGTGAAATATCTGGGAATAACCCTGGATAGTAAACTTCTCTGGAACAGGCATATTAAGAACATTACCTGCAAAGCCACAAAGGCTCTCATGATATGCAGAAGACTGGCGGGAAATAGGTGGTGCTGCGCCCCTAACATTTTGCGCTGGATGTATACCATGATAGTAAGACCCATGATTACTTATGGACCAATTGCTTGGTATACAAAACTAGAGCAACGTACAGCAAGGCAAAACCTGTGCAAAGTACAGAGACTGGCATGTATCTGCATCACAGGTGCCATGAGAACATGTCCAACAGCAGCAATGGAGGTCATTCTAGACCTAACACCACTGCACATTGTCGTCGGTAGCTATGCCAATGCGACAAGGATTAGAATGGCCATTGACGGAAACAGTACTGGGAAAATTTTCAGGTCAGGGGCTTGGAACACCCTCAAAAAGAAAATTCCACTTTTCCAACTCCCAGTGGATGACATTCCAAGAATTTACTGTACTTTTAGATTTTCAAATCAGCTGATAATTTGTGAGATACAGAGGCCAACTTAATTTTTTAAATACGGACCTGCATTTTTTATTTCAGGCTTTGAAAAAACTCGGTCTCCTAGTATAGAGGTATAATAATATGTCACACATGATACTTTTTTTTTGTTTTGGATACCTTAACAAAAACAAAACTATTTAATTATTATTTAATATAATTTCAAGATCGACTCTTTTTTCATCACAACAATATTGATCAGCGCTAATTACCATTGAATAAGGAAAATCGAGCCAATTCAAAGATTCAAATAAATAATATTCAGGTCAGCAATTTAAAGATATGATTTTTAACTTTTTTTTATTGTGAATTTGGAATGGAAAAAATATTATGTGTGGCATATCATTGTACTCAGGAGATCGAGTTCTTTCAAAATCTGAAATAAAAAATACAGGTCCGTATTTAAAAAAAAATAAGTTGGCTACTGTATCTCACAAATTATCAGCTAATTTGAAAATCTAAAAATACTATCAGATAGCCCTAATAAAGTGGCAATGAGAATGTGCAATTAGTTTTTTGATTTCCTAAAAGGTAACGCCAGGAAAAAATAAAATTAATTTTTAAAAAAAATTGTTTTATCCAAAAAACTCAGCGATCCTTGAAATTAAAAAAAAAATTGATGGCATTTTAGTGAATAGCATAAAGCGCAACTTGGCCCCAATTTAACGATGTTCATATCTATTACGGTTACCGAGATACCTCGAATTTGTAGCACCCTGCATATACTATTGTGAGAATGCCATGGTATCCTACCGACTGCGCCATTTTTTTCCACTTTGCTCATATAATTGATCCTTTTTAAAAAGCGATATATGTGTTTTTAAGTAAAAACGCACTTGTCTCAGTTGAGCTTTAACCGGTTAAAATAAATGTAAAAAATACATCAATAGGCGGATTCTTTCAGAATAACAGCACTTTTAATTAGTTTGTAAAATAGCTGATGAGTTTAAAAATTTACCAGGTATCTGTTTTAGCCGTAACCATATACATATAATATAATATACATTATTCCAAAACATATTGTGTATTTTATGTTCAACGTAACCTTTAAACTATGTTTTCTATTAACGGTTGATATCTCATCTTGTCTCGTGTTTCAAACTTCTAAGCACCTATGTAAATTCTGACTGTCTAACACTATTACACACAACTCTTGTTGATACTTAAACATTATTTGTACTTTTCTTAAATCTTGTGGTAGATTCAGTGTGTCTATTATAATTGTTGTGTAGACGTTATTATATATTATATCTTTTTTAAAATTGTTAAACGATTCTTCTTTGTGTTTAGTTTCGTTTTTTTTTTTGGAAATTATTGGTTAGTTGTGATATTTAGATGCGTGATGACATATAAAAGTTAGAAAGCGAATATTTAAAAATGGTTTTGGGGCTTTTTAATGAAAGGTTTAAAAACATTCAAGCGATTGGTGCACAAATAATGAATAGTTTTCTGTTGTGATCGCTTTTCCAGATGATATGGATGTCGATACATGTAAGTCAGCAATAAAAAACGTCGATTTTGCCGTTATATGTTAATTTTCACGTTATAATTTTGGCTAAAAAAATAAAGTGTCCTACTTTTCAGGTGGGGTTAAATAAATATATATTTCTTTCGTATTATTATTTATATTGATAAGTTATTCCCGATAGCTTGTATATATAATATTCTTTTATATTCACGCTTCAGACGCACCAATTTTTCTACTTATTCGTGCTTGCTTATATTTGTAATGTATGCTTGTTTATATTGTATATAATTCTGTTATTGTGCAAGATTTTTGTGACATTTAAAAATATATTTATGTGACAAATATCTACATGCTTTATAATGCCGTGGTATCCTACCGACTGCGCCCATTTTTTCTATTTTATTCATATAATTGATCCTTTTTAAAAAGCGATGTGTGTTTTCAAGTAAAAAGTCACTTGTCTCAGTTGAGATTTAATCATCTGCCTTTTTTTTACATAAAATATATAACTGATATTTCGATTTTAGATGTGTTTAATGTAATAAGGTGTAAACATTTTCAGATGAGTGTCTACTACAGTTATTTGGACGATAAAATTAAACAACAATCGTTCCAAAATTCAAAATCAAGTTAGAGTCAATTAAGTCAAAATCAAAATCGAATTAGTCTAAAATAAATGTCACAAAAATATTCATCCAAAGCATGCTTAGCACGACTTAGTTTCTCGTATATTTATTTAGAGTAAGTTAGTAGATTATTAAAATAATAGATAAGTACTTAGAATATCCCAGCTCTAAGATTCGACAGCATTGGGATATATAGAGCTATAATTCGATATTGTCTTGGATCATTTAATATAATCGATTTTTAATTCAATAAATCTCTAGTTTCTTATATTCTTAGCCCATGTGGCACAGTATGACTGTCAAATGAATTTTCCACTCCTAAATAACTATAATTTTCGCTGGGAAGGTTGAGATTCAAGATGTGCCAGTCTCACTGAAGCAGTCATATTTTTTCCAAGGTGGGTTTTTACGTGAATCATTCAGACGCGACAGTATGAATATATGTTTTTTCCAGTTTCACTGAAAACGAGTTCTCACGTTCATTATTTATCGAGTTTCACTGAATCAGTCATGTTTTTCAAGGAGGGTTCTCACATATCGGTCTCACTGGAGCAGTCAGACTTCAGTGAGACAACAAATAACGAATGTGAAAATATGAATATACTGTTCAGTTTTACTAAAAACATCTTCTCACCTTCACTACGTACTCTACTATATATAAGCTCAGTCTCACTGAATCAGTCATATTTTTCAAGTTGTCACGTGTCGATCATTCAGGCGTAAAAAAAATGAATAAACTGTTCGGTTTTACGGAAAACGTATTTTCAAGTTCATTACTAACTTTTGTAGGTTCGGTCTCACTGAATCAGTTATATGTAAAGGTGAGTTCAGAATCAGTCAGATAGTATGAATACTAAAAGAATAATGAACGTGAGAACACGTTTTCAGTGAAACTGAACGGTAGATTCATACTTTCACGCTCATTATTTCTTTAATCGCATTGAATGAGTCAGACTGCTTCAGTGAGATTAACACGTGAGAACCTGCCTTGGGAAATATGACCGAATCAATGAGACTGAAAGAATAACAAATGTGGGAACACGTTCTCAGTGAAACTAAAGAGTATATTCATATGTTCACGTTCATTATTCGTATCAGTCAGACAGCTTCAGTGAGACTAACACGTGAGAACCTGCCTTGAAAAATATGATTGACTCACTGAGACTGAATGAATAATGAACCTGAGAATATATTTTCAGTAAAACTGATCAGTATATTAATACTTCCACGCTCATTATTCGGTCACTATTATTCGATTTCAGTCAAACTGCTTCAGTGAGACTAACACGTGAGAACCTGCCCTGGGAAATATGACCGAATCAATGAGATTGAAAGAATAACAAATGTGAGAACAGATTCTCAGTGAAACTGAAGAGTATATTCATATGTTTACGTTTATTATTCATATCAGTCAGACAGCTTCAGTGAGCCTAACACGTGAGAACCTGCCTTGAAAAATATGACTGACTCACTGAGACTGAATGAATAATGAACCTGAGAATATATTTTTAGCAAAACTGAACACTATATTAATACTTCCACGCTCATTATTCGGTCACTATTATTCGTTTATTAGTCCCACTGAGTCAGTCAAACTGCTTCAGTGAGACTACACGTGAGAACCTGCCCTGGGAAATATGACCGAATCAATAAGACTGAAAGAATAACAAATGTGAGAACAGATTCTCAGTGAAATTGAAGAGTATATTCATATGTTTACGTTTATTATTCGTATCAGTCAGACAGCTTCAGTGAGACTAACACGTGAGAACCTACCTTGAAAAATATGACTGACTCACTGAGACTGAATGAATAATGAACCTGAGAACATATTTTCAGTAAAACTGAGTAGTATATTAATACTTCCACGCTCATTATTCGTTTATTAGTCTCACTGAATCAGTCAAACTGTTTCAGTGAGAGTGATATGTGAGAACCTTGGTGACAAATAATAATTTGACTAAAGACAATAGAGGTTCGAATAATAGTGTTTTGCGTATTGATATTAAAAATGGTCCGAGACATTTCGATGATGACATAGCCCTTAGGGATGAAAAATCTAGTTGAATGCGAGATTGGTTTGTGGTTTACAGATGACCACCATCCTCCCCCTACTTTTACACCACCAGAGTTGCCCAAGAAGGTCCATGTTAGAGGTACTTTTTAATGCCCTTAAATCATTGCACCGATATGGTAGAGTACTACGATTGGTTTAGGGTTATGTCACACTCATCAACCTTTTAATAAAAAGATTAAGGAAGCGGCACTTAACAAACTTAGGCGGAGTACGATGGGGGTTTAACATGGCTGACTTAAATTCCGTTTTATCTGTGCCGTTTTAATTTTATTTAAAACCTGTAAAAATATAATGTAGGGTAGATTCAATAATTTGTTTGTTTTGCGTTGTCAATAAATATTATTGGGTATTAAAATTGTCAAAAAAATATATTTTTAATAAAAATAGATAAAAAAATATAATAATTATTTAATAACTAAAATAACAGATACGTTGTTGAAACACTTAAGTCAAATTGACGTATTATAATTATTTTGGATATATTGTAAACATTGAAAATGCAAGAAATGATATTTAGGTAATTAGTTAATTATTCTAAGTGAATTTGATAATTGATTGGTTTATTACACGTAATATACAGGGTGGTCCGAACTGTATTCCGGAAACTTTGCCAGCATATTCTGCAGATAAAAATAAGTAAAAAGGTTCGTATAAATGTATGTCCTAAAATGCTTAGTTTCGGAGATAGAAGTTTAGGTGTAGAAGTTTCATTTTTATTTTGATTTTTTTTAAATAATTTCTGAAGTAACGTCAATATTTGGATGAAAGTTGGTGTCTGGGAGTTTTTTGACATGAGAATTTTGATTTTGATGACAATATGACTTCTACTTGTAGAGGGCGCCACTTACATGTGTTTTTACTGTTTTGAAGAGAAGAACTTTTTGTCCGTATTTTTATAAAACTACTGAGTGAAAAAATATATATTTCCATGATTTTTAGCGTAAAAAATGTATCTTAATAAAAATCGCTACGAGCAACCGTTCTCAAGATATTTAAAATGGAAATAGTCAATACATGTCATTATTAACAAAAAATAAACGTAGTAATAGACAGTTATTTGACTGAAATTACAAATTTGGGAACTTTTTATTTTTTTTAATTATTCATAAATTTTTCTTCATTTCTTGGCACAAAAACATTTTAAATTTATAATTTCAGTCTAATAACTATTTAGGCAACATATTTAATTTATGTCAATGACGACTAAATAATAATTTAATCTAAATATCTTGAGAACCATTACTTGTAGCTATTTTTACAAAGAGGCCTTTTTTACGTAAAAAATATTTTAAGTGTTTTTTTTACTCAGTAGTTTTATTTATTATTATATTTTATTACGGAAGAAAAGTTCAAAAGTTAAAGTTTCAAACCAGTTAAAAAATATGTTTGTGGCGCCTTCTACAAGTAGGAGCCATATTGACATCAAAATCAAATTTCTCATGTCCAAAAACTCCCAGACACCAATTTATCATCCAAATATTGACGTTACTTCACAAATGATTTTGAAAAATCGAAATAAAAATAAAATTTCTACACCTTTTTAGAACATGCTTATATGTACTTTTTTATTCATTTTTATCTATAGAATATGCTGTCAAAGTTTCCGGAATACAGTTCAGACCATCCTGTTGGTTTACATTACTTATTACATAGTTACTTAGGTACCAGTGAAAAGTTATTCTCATATTTCTCTCCATTCCGCACTCTGCTCAACTAACTATTTTACTGTCTAACTACTTATTAACTAATAATTATTTTCACTCTGAATTTAAGTACTGATACAATAGCTTTTTTCGGGTTCTTGTTATTACCGATTCTGAACCGTCCTAGAACTCTGCAGCACATGCGCAAATGAAATAATGTCTTCATATTTCCTTCTGCGCATACGCATCACAGTTCTAGGACGGTTCAGAATCGGTAATAACAAGAACCCGAACAAAACTAATATCCTTCTAGATTCAGTATCTTTAAACAAAACCAATTATATAATAAATAATAAGATAAAATAAGCCCAGAAAAGCCCAAGAAATCCGTTAAATCTCAAATCAAATTTAAATGTGTCAATTGAAACGTGGAACAGAACTGTCAAAAGTGGGAGTTCATGATGTCGATTTTTTCTCTAATGCATGAATACATAAATTATACTTCTTCCTTTATCTTTTTATTCAAGGTCACCAAAAAGTAGATCAACTAAATTTTTATAGAATTTTTACAAAAAATTCTATAATAATTCTAGTTCCATAGAAATGATAATTTGCAATTAAACTACCTATAGATAATGTATCGAAGTTTGATAAACATAACTCTAAGCATCTATCAACGTTGAATCCAAATATGTCACAATTTCCGAAAAAAAAACACCTTCATTTGTATTGATTGGTTCATAATGCCGCTAGTCCATCTCATTCATCGATTTTATTTGCTTTTTCTGCAAAAAATCCATCAGTTTTTCCACTCATTACTCATCAATCTCGCGAAGGCTTCTTGAAAAACTCTGCTACTCATTTGTCCTGTGCCTAGATTTATCCATTTATCCCTTCTTTTAGTCGTTTTATAAATAAGTTCCATACAAAACTCTTAGGTATATCAAATTTATTTGATTATTCGGTGTTCTGTGTGGACCTTTTTATATGAATGACATGAGAAAATACTGTACAAAAGTAACGCCAAAGATTATTGAAAGAAAATAAAAATTAATCAGTATTTTCTTAGTATATGTATAACTATCGTTTATTTTTTGATATAGTAATAGGCGTTATAATTTTAATTTTTGATGTTAATATAAAGATGTAACCTCATACAAATAAAATTTAGCGAGTGGCGAATCGGCTTTGGAAACAAGCCCATGCAAATTTTATCCAAAAAAACTGTCCAAATATTGACTCCCTTGTTGATTTTACAGCGTAAAATGCTAAACCAGACAAATGGCAAGATATCTTATGTTGTCAAAACATGATTTTGTCGTTGTTAAATGTAATTTTAAAATATTAATTTTAATATTTATAACTTATAATCCTAGATCATATACAGGGTTGTTCACCACATACGACACGGAGTATTGTAGCTAAATGATTAGATTTTTACAAATTGTAAATTTTGGGTTCGTTGAAGGACTATTAGAGCTACAATTTAAAAATATTTTACAAGATACAGAGTGTCCCAAATAAATAAAAAATATTAAAGTTGTATTTTTTTAAATGGAACACCCTGTATATTATTACATTTTTAGTTTCTCCGATTAAAATAAAGGTAAATTTGATTAAGGTTTATTACACTTAAACCTTACCGTTTTTCAAATATTTTTAATTTTGTGAAATTGCAGTAAAAATTTTAAGGCTTCATTTCTCCAAGGGTTTCAAAGTTTTTAATACTAAATATTTACTGAAGTCTATTTATTGATCAGTTATTGTGTAATACTACCTCATACAGAGTGTATAAAAATTTATTTTAAATTATTGCTAGCTTTAAACGGCAATAACTTGTTTAATTTAAGTGGAACACCCTGTATATTTTATGAGAATCAGATGCACAATTTAATTATCTATCAAATCGTATTATACCACTTTTTATCTATCCCTTCAAATTTTCGTAGAAAATGCATTTTCTTATAATTTAGACCTCATTTATCAATATACCCATGGAATATTGACATTTTAGATTGTTTTTAAAGCAACAAATGTACAAAATGCTAGTAATATTATCATTTTTAGCAAAATTATAATATTACTAGCACATTTGTATGCAAAAAGAAAACTATTTAAATCTTTATAAAAGAGTATACCATTAATTAAATATACCACCATTATTTCTGCCCAAATACTAATTAATTACATACTTAATTATATTCGTTAATAAATTATTCTGAATAAATGTGGATTTGAATCAGAAATCAATATAATAATATGTTATGAAAATGAATGTCTCTATTGTTATAAATAAGCATTTGTCAAAAAATGAAATATCCTTTTTAAGGTGTTACTTTTTACCACACTGTCTAATACAGATACAAAATTCATTTTTTTAGTATTTGGAGCAATTATTATTAATCAACGCAAACAGTCAATTAATGTAGTTTGAATACTAGAATCATATTAATTGGTCCTCTTTAACAAATATTTAAACAGTTTTTTTTTTATTTCTTAATGAAATAAACAAACTATATCGACAATATTAAATTTGGTACATCTTTAAAAATAATCTAAAATGTCAGTATTCCATGGGTATATTGATAAATGAGTTTTAAATAACAAGAAAATGCATTTTCTACGGAAACTTGAAGAGATAGGTTAAAAATGGTATAATACAATTTGATAGACAATTAAATTGTGCATCTGATTCTCATAAAATATACAGGGTGTTCCATTTAAATTAAACAAGTTATTGCCGTTTAAAGTTAGTAATTATTTAAAATAAAATTTTAGACACTCTGTATAAGGTAGTATAATTTTTATTATTGCAATACAATAACTGATCAATAATGCATGCAATGATCTGCAATTTCACAAAATTGAAAATATTTCAAAAACGGTAAGGTTTAAGTGTGATAAACCTTAATCAAATTTACCTTTATTTTAATCGTACAAACTAAAAATGTAATAATATACAGGGTGTTCCATTTAAAAAAATACAACTTTGATATTTTTTATTTATTTGGGACACTCTGTATCTTGTAAAAATATTTTTAAATTGTAGCTCTTATAGTCCTTCAACGAACCCAAAACTTACAATTTGTAAATATCTAATCGTTTAGCTACAATACTCCGTGTCGTATGTGGTGAACAACCCTCTATATGTGGATAAATCAACGCCATAAGTTTAGCATTAAAAAATATGTCTCCAACATCACGACATGCCATTTTCATACCTTCTTTATTGCAATTATGAAACGTTCAATAGGTTTGTCTTTCCCGAGGACCTTACTTTGCGCATGCGCATTAAAAGTCATATTTTTCACGTATTTTCAGAATAATCACAATTGTATACGGTTTAGAAAGTATAAATTATACATTGTTATGGAAACCAACTTTTCATTGTGATCTTTGATTGAGATCATATTGTCATAATCTTATTTCCATTGTGTAACGACGTATGATTTTTACGTTTTTTATTTTAAAAATTGTATTAATTACTCTTTTATCGGCCGCTTTTATATAGCCAAGGATGCAAGTGTGTTTAGTGAGAAGTTAATTTTAAGTTTATGCAACTATATTTCTATTTTTTTTTTCGTTGGACTTTCTAAATACTCGTAAAAATCACTAGAAAGTGTTTAGTGTGTGAAAGTTCTAATACAGTCCCCGAATTATCTTTTCATAGACAAGTAAAGTATTTAGTTATTATTTTATTTATAATAAGCCACATGCATACTTTCTGGTTAGATTAGTCTATTAAATAATACGTTTAGAATATAAAGATCTTTTTTGGTATACCTATTGGACCATACGCAGATCTTTAAAAATTCTGTTTACCGCTTTGCTGTCCAACAATCAAGGGGATCCAATATTTGGAGAGATCAAAATTTCTGTGGGATTTCCTATGTTATTAAATAAATTAAATGACAAGTATTCTTCTCATTTTCTTTGGCGTTACCTAAATAAGTAGAATCTGTAGATATTGTTACTGTTTTTCTATCAACGTTTAATTAAATCAGAAACTTTTCCTTAAAAAACTGTACAAAACATCTTTCTAGTTGGTTCTTGTATTTATAAATATGTTTTCTATTTCCAGGTGATGTGAATAATCGTCCTGATGATTTACTTAGTAAGTTTTCCCCAATTTCAGTGGTGATTTTCTTTTTATTTCCCACGTTTTCTATCGTAGTTTTGAATTTAGATCTGTAGAGATGTTGTTCGTAGGTCGATAACTCGACAATGCATCAATGTACAAAAGGGTATTAAGTTTAACAGCTTTTTTTCGAAAAAATAGTCACTAACAAAACATAAATCGCGTATAATTTCGAAAATTTAGTTTAGGATAAGCTAGAATAAAAAATTGAGGTTTTAGTTTTGGTTGTTTAGGTGATTTTTGTTTTGTTTTGTCGATACAGTGGCGCATCGTAACCAAAATCACAGGAACAGCACTATACCCACGATGAATATGGTGAACTCTACTAAGCAGGTGAACAAGGTGAAACCGAATATTACTAGGAACGCCACTGATAATTTGATTTCTCCTAATTATAATTCCAGGTAAATACGGTAAAATAATATTGTTTATTTCTGATTTTGTACATAAGCTTTTATAATTCAAGAAAGATATATTTTTGTTGTTTCTAATTTTTGATTTCGAACCACATGGTTCAATATTATATTTTTATACGAATAAAGACTTATTTTGTTTCAAAGATTCTTTGTTGTTAGTATTATGTTTAAATATTTTTTTTTCTGCAACTTATGCCGGGTTCTTACCTCTTAGCCTAACTTAATAGTCAAGAGCTAGAAACGTTTTCGAGAAAGTATTTTAAGACGTCTGGCTCTTTGATATATCTTTTACTATCCTCTCTGGAACAGCATGCGGCCCGTCTGGCTGCCGATACCCGTTGCGTTCACTACTGCGCATCGGAAGAAGATCCTATACTGTGCGATGCAAATCAAATCTAACTGTAAACATGCTACTCAAACAACTGGTTGTAATTTTGTAGACATTTAATATTTACAAGATTAACGAAGAATTAAATTTTAAAACTAAATTACTGTTTATTAACACTGATAGAGACACGCCTTTAAATATTTATTTTCCAAGCATCTTTGAAACAAAATACTTTTTTTTCTATTGCAATTCAGTCAATTTGCCAGTCAAATTCTTAACTTCGAAAATAGAGAAAGAATTACAATTTTTTAGTAAAATTCTGGTAGATATGTTATTATTTGTATTTGGCATTGCTAACTCTACAAAAAATATGTTTTAGTTATTAATCTATGTAAGGTAAAGGCTGTCCAACAAGTCAACTTGATCCACATACACATGTTTGTATTTAGCATAAATTAAAAAAAATGATAGCAAAATTCAGCAGTTTATTTTTAAAAACAAATTAAAGAGAGCATTTGTTATTATGGTAACTTTTTTTTGAAGGAAAAACCCATCATGTGGTCACTTGGGAAGATAACCCAAGTAGTCTCAGATTCTGACTGACTATAAAACCCACGGAACCTTTATGTGTCTCCTTCTGGAACCGCGGTGGCATTTTTTCAAAAGGGTTCTAAGTATATGTTATATTTACAGCTGGTTGTAACCTATTGGATCAAAGTTCTCTCTCTTCTTTTTTCCATAAGAATTTTCTTAGCTAGTTTGCTTTATCATCATGGTATCGATTAGGTTATTTAGCGTTAATTTATCCATTTTCTCTTCTACAGTATGTCTAATATAGCTCCTATGTTTGTATTTAGCATAAATTAAAGAAAATGATAGCAAAATTCAGCAGTTTATTTTTAAAAACAAATTAAAGAGAGCATTTGTTATTATGGTAACTTTTTTTTGAAGGAAAAACCCATCATGTGGTCACTTGGGAAGATATTACATACTATTAGGGCTCTATATTACATATAAGAGGTCTGGTCCTTGCCATGTGTTCAACATGTTCTCTCATAAGATCCTTGTTTGCTTTATTTGTCTTTATTATAATGGTAATTATGTTGTTTAGTATTGATACAAACAAAAGCTTGGCAAAAGTAAAATTTGGAGCTTGTGTCATTGTGAATATTTTTTAAAAACCATGAAAAAATACAAGAAGAAGATGATGGTATTCCTGCAGCAATTTTTGCTGAAGCTCTAGAAACAACTACCCATCTACTGCCTGCAAAGTTTTTAGAACAAGGAATAGTGATAGCCGAATTTAGCGAGTAGAATAACATTATTTTATTCTACTCTAGTACATAAAATGATATATTATATTATTATTTAAACCATTAATAAGGAACTGAGTATCATATATATCAAGATTATGATAGAATTTGCTAAAAGTTAGTAATCGTATAAAATTATATTAAATGTAAAAATGATACTTTTTGTGGCGAGGCTATACGTTTGACATAACAGGTGAGGCACAAAAAGTACATTTTTACTCCGAATAGAACATGCTATTTTTTTCAAACGTCACAAATATTTTTTTAAAGAATTTCAAACGCCGCAAATAATATATGTAATTAGTTATATCTTTTAAATAATTATATATCGAGCAACAATGGGTACACTCCTTGAATTTATCACTTAATGTCAGTTTAATCATATATTTTTGTACTTTTGTGTTTAGGTTGTAGTAAAAAGTACTGTACTTTTATGCCTAGACGTTAAAACTATAGCTTCACTCAGAACCTCGCAATTAGTGGAATAAATTAGTGGTTTCAATTAGCGTAGACGTTTGTTCCTTTAATTTCAATGTATCTAAGCATTCATAACGTCAAAATTAGTATAGTAAACGCCACGAATGTTTGGGAGTGGTTCATCGGTCGCCACCAGGGGGGTGACAGTAAACCGGAAAATTGGAAACAGTTGTGGCGCGGTTCTACCCAGGCAGAAAGCATGGCCTTCTAGACTGTCCTAGACAAAAATCTGAATATTTCTATATGATTTCTGTCAATTTCTGCTACGGAACATTTTTATGCACGTCCTTTGAATAAGAAGACTAAGGAAGGAGCATATCAAAAATCTTAGGTGCACCGCGATGGGCCTCAAATATGGCCGACTTAAATTCCGGTTTATCAGTGTCGTTCTAATTTTATTTAAAAAATGTAAAACTATGATGTAGGGTAGACGTGGGGTAGACTCAATAATTTGTTGTTTTATTTTACGTTGTGAATAAATGTTGGTAGTTATTAAAATTGTTATAAAAATATATAATTCTAATAAAAATAGATAAGTTAAAATAAGTATTTATTAACACAAACATCCGATACGCTACTGAAGCAGGTAAGTCAAATTAACGTATCTAAATTCTTTGACATCTAATCTTTGACAAGTAATAAATAAAAGCTAAAATGCAAGAAAAATATATAATTTAGTTAATTTAAGTGAATTTCATAAATGATCGGTTTACTACACGTATGTATATTATATAGTCACTTACTAGCGAAAAAGTTGTTCCATTATTTCACTCAATTTTTGCCGAGATCTACCGCACGCTACACAACCAACTATTTTAGAGTCTTTTTCGATAAATCGCGATAGTGTCACTGTTAATTTAAGTTCTGCCACAATTTCCATTTAGATTTACTACCTTTATACAACTATCAGTAGTAAAATAAATAACATAAAATAAGCTCCGTAAAGACTGATAAATCCACAAAATTTCAAATCAAATTCAAATGTGTCAAATGAATCGTCAAACAGAACTGTCAAGGATCCCCACCCTAGAGTGCTTTTTCCGCCCACCATGCACGAATACATGGATAGCATTATGCTCCTTCCTTAGTCTTCTTATTCAAAGATCAAAACATATATTTGGTTATAAATATAAACTGGAATGCCCCATTGTTCGCACTGCAAGCACACCAATGGACTGACGCACAAAAACGAATCAATCAAAGAAACGCGATAGAGTATCGTCTTTGTCAATCACGCTAACATTTTAGAATAAGTAGGAGGAGCGCAGGCAGATGATTAGACCGTTTTAAAAACCTACGTCTGCGGTAAAAATTTACGTTTTTAATGTAAAAATGATAGCGCGCGTGTCGATTCTAACTTCATCAAGCGATGAATCACTCCCAAACATTCGTGGCGTTTACTATAGTAGACATTTTCAATTAGAAGAAAAAGTTATCAAACTTTTAACTTTTCCACTAATTATTATACTTCAATATTTGCGAGAAATGTCATTTTGGCCTCTGACTATCTTCCGTCAAGAGAAATTGTGGTTAGAAATCAAAAGGTAATTGTTTTATAAGCTAAATATTAGGCTTTCTCTATAGTGGAGTGCCCAGAGACTTTTACCTCGGAATTCAATTACTATGAATGTATTAATGTGAAACCTTCTGTATTGTGTTTTATAGATAAAATACTAAAATATTTACCCATTTTTTTTCGTTGCTTTTAATTTTTTATTTTAGTAATTTTACTAAATTCTTAATTATTTCCTTCTTAATATTTTGATTTTTTTCATTCTTTTTCTAAGTAAATTTATTGAAATAAATAAATCTAATACATAAACTATACCTATTCTGCTTATATTCTAATCATTGAAATTTTGATTGAAATCGAATTATACAGGGTGGCGCGTCATATACGACGCGGTTTTTGCAAGGAGAACAAAAGTTTGTATTGAAGTGAAATTTTCTGAGCTTATGTAAGTCAATTTAAAGTATTTTCTAAAATTATGTAGAGTTCTACAGGGTGTCTCCAAAAAAAGTTACACAAGAAAGTTATGTTTTTTGTAATCCCTATATATTAATTGATTTGTGGATTCTAGTAAAAAAATAAAGGTTTGTTTCATTAGAAAAGTATGTGACTAAAATGTATAGTTTTTGAAATACATTCACCGGCACGAAAAATGGGCACCTTAAAACTTTGATGTATTTTAAAGGTTAATATATTTTATTTTAATGGGCCGATTTTGATGATTTTTAAGGAATGTGTTGCCAAATTATTTGACTTCTTAGTATCTTTTTCTAAATTAAAAATGAAAATCCCCATCTGTTAATTATACGAGGGAAAACAAAATGTTGATATTTTTGATGAAAGTTTGAAACACTCTGTGAAATATGTTAAAACAGCAAGAAATTTAAAAATTATTTTATCATCTAGACACATCCTTTCTCGATGGTTTGTTTTTTGGTTCATCTCTTTAGCTTTATTTTTGTTGGAAATATTCGGTTTTAAAGAAGGCACTAACATTTTTCGTAATTTTTTACATTAAGACCATGCCTTTGCTTTTGGGCCTAATCAACACATCTAGTAAGTTCTGGTCCCGAAGCAGGCCTTCTTGACATAAGATTTGCTTCATTTAATCTTCTTCTTGTAGTGCGTTAGTTAATATGTACGGTTCTTAAGTGCAATTTTTATTATCAATTTGAAAAAATACTTATTATCAATTTGAAAAGCTGGCAAACGGCGGTTTCTTAGCGATAAACTTACAATAAGTCGATCGTCTCGATTAGAAGTTCTCATCAGAAGGTTCCTGGACGTCTATATTGATGTCCTCATGGACGTGATCATAATTCAAAGATTATTTAATATACTCTATGGTATTAAGGTATTTTTGGAACCAGAATATTATAGCAAATTTACTAAACTCGAATAAATAAATGATATATATTCGACTCACCCTGTATATCTATAAAAATATTTTTGAAATGTGAACTACCATTAAACATATATTTTGTAAAAGGTTTGGAGTGAAAATCTCAAATAGGAATCCTGATACAGAGCTTTTCCGGAAAACGGAGCCATCTTGTATGTATGCATTTGTATATGTGTGTGTTTATTTAAATAGTAAAGTGAAAGCAACGAATTTAAATAGGTAAACTTTGCAATATATCTTATTAACAATACAATGCAAAAAGTTTTATAAAAATTCGTTCACAGTAAATGAATTCCGAGGTTTGTATCTCATAAGGGCTTAAAGCACTCCACTACTATGGATACAGTTGACTAACCTAAGCTGTTGCTAGGATATTCTATTAATTTTAATTGTGTTTTTTAAACATTGTGATTGATCATAATCCACTAAGATACACTAATTGCTAGGTTCTGAATGAAGCTTATGTCTTTATATCATCAATCATGTCACAAAAATTAATACTTTTGTGACGTTTGAAAAAAGTATATTAACTAAAAAGACGACGTTAAGGTGTACGCGCACTGAATCGGTACCAGTCCGGCGAAGGCGGTGACTCGACTATCGTAGATAGGTAGAGGTAGGAATCTGGCCTCTACAGGCCGAAATGTTTTAGTGGACGCCGGCGCCGTCTATATGTACGATGGTCGCAGTCGCTTTTGCTGGTCGGTTCGATCCGATGCAGTGCGCGCGGAGCCTTATCGGACCCCGTACGCGTGAACAGCAGCAGACACACTTGCGCGTTGGTATTCGTTAAAAATTTGACTGAGCAATGATCGAAAAAATACTAATAAATATAAGAGATGTGGTGCGCTATCGGCAGTATGCTGTTTTCAGACCGCCAGCCGACCAAGAAACTACGACATACGCCGGCTATCATCTTGCCTATGAAGTCAAAAAACTCATGTACGCTTTGGCCAGAGTACTAACACCTAATTTAATTTTTAACACCGTTGCCGCTTGTTGTAGCTTAGTTACTAACCACGTGTACAACACATGCTGCTACTTCATTGGTAGAAACAAATTTGCACACATTTCAAGTTTCGATTATTTTTAAGAAAAAACTCAAAATCTAAGTGAGGATACAGTCAATAGGCCAATCAAATTAATATATTTTGAGAAATACATTATTTCCAGCAAAATGGAAATCATTTTAATACCTTTATTCGGTCCTAAGTGCTTGTAATATAAGTTTGCACCATCCCAGGAAGTGAGCTTAATTTTTGATAGACATAAAACCGTCAAATTTTTGCACATTTTTGAGTTTTTTGCTTGTAGCTAGAAATAGGTGCGTCGGCCGGAAAATGTCAATCCATTCAATAATATAGAGAACTAAATTCTGCGTCAAATGACATATAAAATATTAAATTTGGTTCAGTGCTATAGCCGAAATCCAATGTTAAAAACGAAGAAATTTTCGTCTTTTGGTGCGAACTTACATTTTGCAAAGAAAGACACGAACTTTTAAAAACTGAGGTATCTATATAACGTAAAATTTTATTCCCTACAACTTTTATTCCATGGGTTTTTTCAATAGGAGTATCTGTTTTAAAGATATGTGGTCTTAGATAACCGCAAAATGTAAGTTTGCAACGACATACGAAATTTTCTGTTTTTAACATTGGATTTCAGCTATACCAATAAACCAAATTTGATGCTTTATATACCATTCGACGCAGAATTTAGTCCTCTATATTATTGAATGGAATGATATTCTCCGGCCGACGCACCGTTTTCAAGCTACAAGCAAAAAACTAAAAAAGGTGCAAACATTGGCGTTTTTTTGACTATCAAAAGTTAAGCTCACCACCTGGGATGGTGCAAACTCAGATTACACGCATTTAGGACCTAATAGAAGTATTAAAAAGATTTCCAGCTTGCTGGAAATGAATTCCGCAAAACTGCTTTTTACCATTTAATTTTATTGGCCTACGATAATCACCACACAGGCTAATAAAACTACTTTTTCAAATTTGTCAAGCTTTCGAGAATTTTATTCCCATCATCAGGATAGTTTCTCAAATGTATAAATAAAAAAAGGCATTAACATTTTAAAATTGTATAACAGCAAAAACAACATCCTTTGCACAGAAAGGCTTTAAAACTAGCATCATATGGCATTGGAATACAAGGAAATTTCCTTTATAAAATATTGTTGCGAGCCGGTGTGGACTCGACCTAACCTCACAATATGGCCCGCCCTCGGATGACCTTAACATCGCATAGACACCGCAATGATTCATTCGTTCGAGAAGAATCGAGACCCACTAGAATGGACTAGTACATACGAGAACATTCGAAAACCTTCTCTATGCGCCTAACGATCATATGTATTTTAATATTTTATAAAGGAAATTTCCTTGTATTCCAATATCACATAATGCTAATTTTAAGGCCTTTTTGTGCAAAGGATGTTGTTTTTGCTAATTGAATCAGTCGTAAGTTGTTTTTTCTGTTATACAATTTTAAAATGTTAATGCCTTTTTTTATTTATACATTTTAGAAACTATCCTGATGATGGGTTAAGATTCTCGAAAGCTTGATAAATTTGAAAAAGTAGTTTTATTAGCCTGTTTGGTGATTATTAACTGTATCCTCACTTAAATTTTGAGTTTATTCTTAACTTAGTCAGTCACGACTAAACCTGCGATTATTTTTAAGATACTTTATTTTTAAAGTATTTTCTAGTATTCTGATACTACCAGTTTAAATGGTAATGCCTGCAGAAATCGCTTGTTTTAAACAGAATACCCTATTTATTTTTTGATTTTTGAAATCTACATGTAATTCTAGACACTTTTTGTGAATAATGTCATGTACCTAAGTTTAGAGGTTTATGACATACACTTTTAACTATACTTTAACAGGGTGCCAATCATAAAGTGGTCTTCACCATCTTATGGATGCCAATCATAAAGTAGAAACGACTTTACACGGGTCTGGCAACAGTGTGACGGGCATCCGTAGCTGCTATAATTAAAAACTTGTTTCACGAAAAAACCTTATAATCGTGTTTCTAGAGTCGAAATATACTACCACTAAAAATATTTGCACTTATTTAAGACTCACCCTGTATTATTCCTTTGTTAGATGGAGAATTAAAAGATACTTTTTTGTATTTAAAGTATTACAAGATTTTTAACAATATCATAGCATGTGTTGTACACTCAAGCCTAACAAAGTTAATATAAGTTTAAGAAAAAAAATAAGCTTAAAATTACATCACTTAAACTTTTATTGACCAGTGCTTTAATCGATGTGTGCTCTATAGTTTGAGTAGATGTTATGAGCAGTAGTAGATTTTTAATTTTTAAAACTTTTTTTAAGACTTTCATTTGCCTATTGTCAATGCTTGAAACAACAGTGTCAATGATAAACAAAAGTGAATCATCTACACAAAAATTATGAATCTAATAAAAAAAATTCACATAATATCTTATAATCAAAAAAAGGGCGTCAAAGACGGCTTGGGAATGGCAATCGACGTTAATTTTAGTGAGGTCAATCTCTAGATGTCGATGTCGTTTAGTAAAAATTGACATAAAATTTTCAAAAATTAGCACTAATTATAGAGATTAAAAAAAGATAGAACGTTTCCAGACACGGAAATCGATTTCCCAATAAATATTTTTCTCAGATTTTAAACTACACCAAATAAAAATAAGTTTTACTCCATATAAACTTAAATTATTGTCATAAGGCCAACTGGCAGTAAGCACCATTAAAAATTAGAGAGGTGTACGGACGTCTAGTGCTTGACCTTGCCAAAATTATCATCGATTGTCATTCCCTATCTGTATTTGACGCCGTTTTTTTTTTCTCGATCATACAGTAGCAACTTTACCTTTAGAATATTGTCACTGTTGTTTAATATTTTTGAATATTTCGCATTCTTATAGCTTTATTTTCTTCTAGTTTTTGTTTAGCTAGCTGCTGATAGCCACGTTAAAGAAAATATTTTGAAAAAAAATCTACCATAGGCATGTAATAATTGAAAATGAAACAAAAGTGGATTTTTTTGTTTATAACTAATTTTTTGATGATTTTTAAACTTTGCATGCTTTTTTCAAAATGTAAACCTGATTTTAAAGGCATTAAAAGAAAGATTTTGGCGTAGAAGTAGTTTAAAAACGTACATATATAACATGTGTGTCTTTTTAAAAGATATATCATAGAAAAATGAACATTACCTAAAATATTCTTCATACAACAACCTTAATAAATTAAAATATGTATTATAACTAGAACATTGCATTTTTCTATGATTCTTTTTAAAGAAGGACATTCTCTATATATGTATATATCTGTGTATAAATAACTCAGAAACAAATTTGTCTTCTTTTTACTTCAATTTACACATCAAATTTGTTTCTCAAATAGATTTTTGGTAAGTACCTTAACAAGTACAAAGATACACAAATCCAAAAATGACATTTAGGCTCAAACAATTGAAGTTTAAAGTACATATACCCCAAAATGTCGTTAAACCCACACCACATTCTCTCACTAACTACGCTTACACTAGCCACCAATCACGATTCTACAGCTTTACAAATTTTCTTAAACAAAAATACTTGTTCTTCTTCAAAAAAATGGTATTTCGTAGGCCCACTAGCCGGACCAGTAGCGGCACGAACCAAAATAACAACGGGGTGGCGCTTCCTGTCGGTCTGGCAGATGACCAAGCCAAAGATTTCGACTTTGAGAAGACTGAAATGAAGTACGACAGTACGGGGATGTTCCATTGGAGTCCTGCAAAGAATTTAGAAGAATGTATTCTGGTTAGTAACGTACTTCTATCACAGATTTTTAAGGCTTTACGTTGATACGATGGTCCGACGGTGCTCTGATTGTTCATAGTGTTTTCGCGCCACTTTTCATCCGTAAATATTTTACTTCAGCCCGTCAACGGACCCATTCATACGATAACGGACGTTTTGACACTTTTTTGACAAACAAACAAATAAAAAGAGACTGGCAAATTAAATGGCAAAGAGAGGGACAACGTTCCCGTAGCGCAACTCAGAACGCAAAATTTCGTTCTATTTATGTTGATCTGCGCATTGCGTCTATTGGGCCCACTCTATCTCATTCTAATATAACAAGCGAGAAAGAAGCAGCCATATAAAACGTAATTTCTAAATAGAAATTAGAACAATCGCCTCTCGTTTCGTCATCATGACAACCAAGATGACAACATCATGACAATTCGTCAGGTTTGTTAATTTTTCTTTTCGTGATTTACCTTTTTTCTAAACTCTCCATCTCTCCATTTTATTGACTTGTGAATATGGATAGGGAACAAATTCCTTTGTTCCATATAGGTATTTATATTTTGTTACTTATAATTTTAGGTTATACTATTTGTTATTTTATTTGCTGCAGGAGCCAGTATCATCTATTTTTTTATATGTATTGGTGCCCCCGTTCTCTGATAGATATGTTAAAGACACCCGGTAAAATAAAAGTAAGTAGTTATATTTATCATCTTATTAAGGAAAAAGTAGAAGTAGTAGTGTCAAAAATATTTCGAACCTCTCAAATATTTCGAACCTCTCAAATATTTCGAACCTCTCAAAATTAATACAATTAATTTTTTTCATTTTTTGGGTAGGGAGTTTATAGCTGGTTTATAGTAACCAGAAACTTTATTAATATACCTAATTTACTTTTGTTTTAGGATTAAAACTGGACTTGAAAATGGTTCAGGATCATGATTCTCGTAAAGTCTTCTTTGCTTGGATATTCACTTTGTTATTGCAATTAGGCAGTTTTTTCTAAAATCAGATTTTTAATGCCCTTTAAAGAAATTGGCCGATCGTTTCCTGCAACAGTCAGTTCTTCTGCATTTAAAATTGGTAGGTGGGTGGAATAAACACTGTTATTTTTTGTTATTATATTATAAAAAGTTTATTTATTTTTATGTATAAATAAATATGTTTATAAAACAGTAAAATTTTTGCTTTTTTTATAATTTCCCTTATAATAGTAGTATTCTTTCGTTCTGAAAGAAACTGCAAATTTTCACTTAAACTGATTTATTCCCTACATCAAGTTTCCTTTACGTAGTATAGGGAATAACTCAGTTTAAGTGAAAATTTTCAGTTTCAGAATGAAAGAATACTACTAATAATGGGTAATTTAAATTTCCCCCCAGCCAGAATGTGCGATAATGTCTTACGATACGTTTTATACATAGATTTAGGAAGAACAGATATCACATTATGCATTTTAACCCGATCAAACATTCGGAGGTTGACTACGTACTGTAAAAACCAACTGAGATAGAGAAGGCGACATTGCCACATATCAAATTTGCGCCTATCTACTTAGTTTGATTTGCAGAAAAGGTGACTTTAAAACCTTCACCGGATATCAATAAATCTCAGTTTCTTAATTAAATTAATAGTTTATTTTTAAAGAAGCATGCGTAATAATATGTTATTAACCAGAGGATATATGCGTTACTATTAAAGGACATGTTTACTGTTTAATGTGCTGAAACGTCTAGAACTATTGGCAACGTCGCTGCTAGTCTTCCAGAATGAAATGAGCCGTCCGTCCCACCACCCCTCGCGACGGCCCTTGGTCCATTATAGCGTACTACGTTTAGCTTACGGTGTGTTTGAAGTCGGAATCAAGTCCGAAGTGAACTTTTCAGTGTTTTCAGTAGTTTTTGTTTTTGTTTAATGTACTTTTGAATCTGCGAATTTTCAATATGGTACGACAGTGTCAAATGTGTGGACAAATAAGCTCAAATTACCCGAGTTTGTTTTTTCACAGGTAGGTATTGTTTCCGCCGTGCCGTAATCGTACATAGGCCTCCCACAAGGGAGCCTCTCACAATTAAAATAATTTCTAATTATATTTGTTGAATTTTGATCTATTAAAACAAGAACGTAGTAGCCGGTAATTGAATTATAATTCGTCTCAATTACTACCTAACGGTTGTAGATCATAACAAATTTGAATATAAACGTTACATTTGAAACTTTATTATAAGCCAGAAAGTGACATTTTTTTTCTTAAAATTGCGTCCTATTTTGGTCATTATATACGATATTCTAAAGGAATTTTGCTCAACAAATAAACAAAGGTGTTTGTTTTTTTACATTTTATTGCTTTATTATATCTGCCCCTTCGGCCTTGCTTAGACAATTTTTTACCACCGTACAAATACATCTTCCTAGAGTTATTTGTACGGTGTGTTTAACTTTTTTTAGAATGTGACGAACTGTAAATAATTCTTAGGCTACTAGTTTTATACATATCTATATAGAGAGTGACCCAGGCTTCCAAAAAAGCTTTTTACCTATTACGTTTTTGGTTTGTGATTTTTATTTCAATTTTTACATAAGATGGGGCCATTGTAACGCACATTTTCAAAATATTTTTGTCAACATACAGGGTGATTCAAACCGCAATACATATGCTTAATACAGTTCATGAAGATTAGGACATTTAACTAAAATTTGATTTTCTGATGAAGCTACCTTTAAAAGTAATGGATTTGTAAATAAACGTAATAGGTATTCATTATTATGCGACAGAAATCCCATACTGTAGCACACAGATTTAATACTTTTAATGATAAATGCCTTCTATTGCGAGACTAAAATGCAATTGCCTCGTATCAGAACCATCATAATACAAGAAGAAGACCGAAAGTCAAATCTTGTCTTATATTTTCAAAAAAACACAATTTTCTCATTAAATATTGATTTTAGATATAGGAAGTTATTAATAATACAAGATTAAACAATTATTACACAGTACTTCACAGGAAGCTATCGATTGCGAACTAACTAAATCGTTACTAATTAGGTACTAATTTTGAAAAGTTCTTTTTAATAATACAAGATTAAACAATTATTAGACAGTACTTCACAGGAAGCTATCGATTGCGAACTAACTAAATCGTTACTAATTAGGTACTAATTTTGAAAAGTTCTTTTTAAGATAAAAAAAGGTAAAACTAAAACCTAAACTATCATTTGAGATTAAACGGGAAGTTCTAAATAATGTTGCCTATTCTAAACAAGAAAAATTTATTTATAAGTTTTATAACATTCCTAATTAAATTTGGGCGAAAAGAATATTTCTGTTTGCTGTAGGTAATTTTCTCATGGAAAATACGTAAATAAAAATGACTTTTAAGTCAAAAAGTCAAAAGGACAAGTTATTCCAAAAGGACTGTCCTTATCAAAAAAGGACAAGTGGCAACCCTAGGTATTTCTGGAATGGAAATTTAATGGCAAATCTACAACTTTGGTTTGAAAATATGTTCCGGCCACCTATGTTTACAAAAATGTCTAAAATGTGCCTAAATGCCTCCATATTCTGAAAAAAAAATTGAAAGAAAAGTCACCAACCACAAACTTAATATAGAACTGTTTTGGAAGCCTGAGTCACCCTGTAAATATTCAAAAGTAACTGAAAGTTTATATAGAAGTAACTGAAAGTTTAAATTGAAAATCGACGTTGGAGTGATTTTCGAAAACTACTAACGTTTCGACATAAGTATATGTGGGATATTAATAGTATTATTATATTAGACCTTATAACAAAACTCATCTGACGAAAAAGTGCTAATGTAGTATATTAATATGGAGTAAAAATTTTACTAATTAATTTACTTTTACTTTACTAATTAAATTCGTTCCAAAAAACGATGCGCCACTGGCCATTAGAACAATCCAAATGCGCCTAGTTGCCGGGGTCGGAAATTTTAGACTTCTCTGTCTCTTCTGTACTTGTTTGACACATTGGAATGTTTGATACACTACCAACGAGTATTTATGAATGAGATGTTCGGTCTATCTTTATAATGTCTTTGGTTTTATACCTATCTCTATCTTTTTCATACAAAGCACACGTAATAAAGAAAGATAGCAATAAAGACGTATGTCCTGCCATGGTCCTGCTAATCGGTTTCAAAATTGTTATTCTGAGTTGCGCTACGGGAACGCGGTCCCACTCTTTACCATGGGATTTGTCAGTTTTTTTATATTTTTTTTTGTCTATGATTTAACCTTAATAAAAATATAAGTAAAATAGCAAAATCGTTATGGAAACGAAAATATAAAATGACACCAACCGGAGGCATGAAAATGCAATAAATTTAAAAACTGCGACCAAACCAATCAAAGTCTTTAAATTCTACCAATAAAATTAATATCGTATCAACGTATCCTCGGACAGCGGATGCATGAAAATCAAGCTTTAGTGCTACAGTAATAAATATTTTAAAAATTAAAAACTGCCCCTACACCGGGTGCATCTTGAAAGTGTTATATTATAACTTATAACTTTTTTATCATCAATAATTCATATATATATCAATAATCCTTACAACTTTTTTATCCCTTATTTCTTTCTTATTTTTTTCAGATAAAAAAAAACGAGATTTGGTATGTTAGTATATCGTCGCGTCGGTGAAATGTGATAAACTGCTAACTCCACTATTCCTAATTTTAGAGGAGACAAAAAAAACGATCCAAAAAAATATGTACACATGTAGCAACTATATTCATGCGTTAATATGATACAGAGATAACAATAATCTTTGCTGGGGAACAATACAACTTAATATTTTGTTAAACATTTTACGTAAAAATTATGTATTAAACGTATTATTTACTTAAAATCAAAAATGGAGTTAGCAGGTTATCACGTTTCACTGACGATATGACATAAATTAGGATTGATTTACGTATTCAATTGCTTTCGGTCACTTCTTGTTTCACCGGAAATGACAACTTTTGATTTTTAAACGGCACCCTTGCTATTTTTTTACTTTATTCGATTAAAAATTACCCTCTGAATTAAATGGTATATCATATGTCAACTTTTGACATTTTCGCATATAGCTTTTTTGAAATTGTAACATGCGGCTCATAACGACAATTTGACTCGAAATACCAAGTGTTATCCACCATACCATCCAAATTATTCGCAAAAAATGATTTTTCTAAATATGCTAATGAATCAACCTCGTTCCATTTGAAAAAAATTGGCGCCGGGAGGCACGTTTAGCCGCTCATACTAAAATATGTTAATAAAAAGTTGGTAGGCAGTTCTTTTAGTTTCAAAGTAAAGGAATTTTTCCAATTTTTTTTATCTCAAAAACTGCGACTTTGACTGATTTTGATGTTATTACGAATTTTGTTGCAAATATTATTCCTAATCTTAAATTGAAAACCGCGTTTCGCTAGCTACTGTAATTTTGGAGTTACGATTTTTTAAAATTTCTAATTCCCTCCCATACCCACTTACCAACCCCCATCCCCACCAAAAACTAATGGCCAGATTCTCGGGTGCCACAGTATTTTTGTGCCAAATTTGGTTAAAATCGGTTTAGTGGTTTTTGAGTTATCGTGTTACAGACAGACAGACACCATGAAAATATTTTGTATTTAGGTCATTTATGACCCAAATAATTAATTTTGAGTGAAATTAAAAAAAACATACCATACCTGTTAGTATGGTCGGCTAAAAAAATGAGTTATGATTTAAAATACGATTTGGGCATCTTTTAACCGACCAGAACAAGACACGAAAACCATTAGACGATCAAAACTATTTTTCCAAGGCTCCTTGATTAAAACGTTAGTGTTTTTAGCACAGCTATGGACACTTTAGATTGAAATTTTAAATACGATTTTTTAAGCAAAAATGTCAAAAGTTGACATATGAAATGTTATTCTATTCCGAGTGTCATTTTCTATTGAATAAAGTAAAAAAAAATACCGAGGGTGTCGTTTAAAAATCAAAAGTTGTAGTAATTTCTGGTGAAACAGGAAGTGACCGAAAACAATTAAATACGTCAATCAATCTTAATTTATGTCATATACTAACATACCAAATATCGTTTTTTTATTTTAAAAAATAAAACAGTTATAATAGAGGTGAGCCAATTTTGAGACGCACCCGGTATATACTTGAACCAAATAAAATAAATATAAAATGTAGGGTAGCCTAAACCCTACTGCCTTACAGAAAAGTTAAAAAAAAGCTGCAAAGACTACAAATATTATTACTTTATATATTTTTCTGATTTAAAACAGCAAAAATCTGATTTAAAACAGCAAATTGAATAAAGTAAAAAAAATACCGAGGGTGTCGTTTAAAAATCAAAAGTTGTAGTAATTTCTGGTAAAACAGGAAGTGACCGAAAACAATTAAATACGTCAATCAATCTTAATTTATGTCATATACTAACATACCAAATATCGTTTTTTTATTTTAAAAAATAAAAAAGTTATAATAGAGGTGAGCCAATTTTGAGACGCACCCGGTATATACTTGAACCAAATAAAATAAATATAAAATGTAGGGTAGCCTAAACCCTACTGCCTTACAGAAAAGTTAAAAAAAAGCTGCAAAGACTACAAATATTATTACTTTATATATTTTTCTGACTTAAAACAGCAAGGGTTTTGAGACCACTATATTTTGATTTTTGTAGGATCGAAATCAGGCAGCCATGACAGTACTGAACGGTCACGTGGTGGTTTGCCTCTTTGCTGATCCCGATTCACCGCTCATTGGTTTAAGAAACTTGGTTATGCCTTTGAGAGCCAGCAACTTCCATTACCACGAACTCAAACATGTTGTCATAGTTGGCTCTGTGGACTATATTAGAAGAGAATGGAAAATGTTGCAGAATCTACCGAAGATTTCTGTTCTAAATGTATATAAATTTATATTTTTTCTTAAAAATCATATGAAAAAAACATATTTTTATTATTTTTATTAGGGTTCTCCACTAAGTAGGGCTGATTTGCGTGCAGTAAACGTCAATCTCTGCGACATGTGCTGTATTCTGTCAGCAAAAGTGCCCAGTAACGATGATCCGACGCTGGCCGACAAGGAAGCCATTTTGGCGTCTCTGAACATCAAGGCCATGACCTTCGATGACACTATCGGTGTCTTGAGTCAAACCAACGAGGACAACGAGAACGGGACTCCCGTAGGTAGTCCCATTATACTACAAAGAAGGGGGTCCGTTTATGGAGCCAACGTTCCTATGATTACTGGTAAGCATTTAAAAATTTAAAAAAAATCATGAAACCTACTATCGGAGGTGTAAAATGTATAGTTTTTAAATTTACTTAATAATTGTTACACGAGAAACACAAATTTATTGTTTATCCAAAAAAATCCTTTATGGGTATTTCGCCACTGCATTGCAAGAAAAATCTACAAAATAAAATAGTTATTTTTTAAGTAAGTTAGTAAACACTTCTGCCTTAAACCTAAACGCACGCTGCTTGTCAGAAGTTGTGTTTACAGTAATAAAAATTTGCCTAACAAAGAAAAAAATTCTTAAGAATTTTTAATTATTATTATTTTTATTTAATTTTTATTTTTTATTTAATTTATTTTCCTTTGTTAGGCAAATTTTTATTACTGTAAACACAACTTCTGACAAGCAGCGTCCGTTTAGGTTTAACGCAGAAGTGTTTACAAAAAATAACTATTTTATTTTGTAGAATTTTCTTGCAGTGCAGTGGCGAAATACCCATAAAGGATTTTTTTGGATAGATGAATCCGCCACATAGGTATAGACATTTTTTAAAATTTATTGTTGTCTCTTGCTAATATTTTAGCTTCAATTATTGTTAGTAGGATCTTCTCTAGAATGTCATTGCATATTTTGTCGGTCTTCCCCTTGGTCTCTTCCCCTGTATTTTAGCTTCTTATACTCCTGGTATATCGTTGTTTATTCTAAAATTGTCCATACCACCATACCACCGAAGCTGACATTGCTCGGCTCTATAGAGAATCGAATCTACTTCCAGTTCCTCTCATATAAAGCTGTTTCTTATTCAATCTTTTCTTGTTGCCCCAAGTACTCTTCTTAGATATAACATTTCCATTCTTTTAACTTCCAAACCTTTACAACCAAAAATCAACGTTATGAATACTGTCTTGTATACACTCATCTTCACTTTTCGGAAAAAATTAGATTTAATTAGATTTTTTGTGGTGACTAGACTTTCATAGAGTCTAATATCTTAGAGACTAAAGTTTCCATCTTTGCCATTGGCTTATGATCGCCTAATACAAAGAACCACACCGTTTGCAGGGTGCTAATACAAAGAACCACATGTTTATCATACTGACATACTGACCAGAATGTGTTCAGTTATTTCTTCTTTTAAAATTTTGGCAGTTTTCCTGTTTGTATTTATCAGGTCTGCCATAAATTTTGGCGACTGTTCTCTTCTGGTGAATTTTCCCACCCTTCTAGTGATCAATTGACTACCCAGTCTTTTGTGACCATTTTACAAGGGTTCTGGTCTACTGAGTTGTATTAATGAGCCTTGTTTGATCTTTTTATCTGCCTTCTTTTATTTTCTTCATTACCTTTGAAACCCTCGGACCTCATGTATTCACAGCACAATACCATCCCATAGTAGTCTAATCTGCCCTTTATGGAATAAAGTACCTTTAACGTAGCTTGGTTATCTGTAAAGATGACAACTGAACGGTTTGTTTTCTCCTGCTTTGTTATTTCTTCCAGGCAATAATGGATTGATTTTTCTTATGCCTAAAAAATTATATGATATCGATATCCTTGGATAGGCCTACTGGGAAACTTACCCTTTGTTTCAACTCCACTATTCTAGCTCCTACACTTTCTGACATTCTTAATCCATCCTTTTATCAGGTTACATCAGCTTGAATAGATACACCATTTTTATGGTCTTTTCTACCAGATAATATAGTTATTTTAAACCTGTAACTAAGAAAAAAGTAATAATCACCTAATAAATGCACATATATGTGAAGTTTATTCTAATTTATTATTTTAGAATTGGTCAACGACAGTAATGTTCAATTTTTGGATCAAGATGACGACGATGATCCAGATACGGAATTGTACCTAACCCAGCCGTTTGCTTGTGGTACCGCTTTCGCTGTTAGTGTATTAGACTCGTTAATGTCTACGGTAAGTTCTTCCTTTCCTTTTCAAGGTGTTCAGCGTAGAACCACTTTGGCTGAAAGAACTAAAGTTAATTTTTGTAATTAAAGTTTTTTGACAATAAGAAAATAGTAATATCACTGAGGACAATGTATCCAAAACATTTTTGACAGTACATCCGGTTATATCACGACTAGATATTAACTGGAGTTTCTATACAGAGTGTATCTGAAATAAGTGGAAATATTTTCAGGTCTGATAGATCTCGATAAAAGAAACATATTTTCTTTTTACCGTTTTTCAAATAAGTCCAAAATAACCGAAATATTTTACTTTGAAAATAAAAAAATGAAAGAAAATCAAAATTTTTCCTGCGAAAATCGGGCTTTTTTCACTGAAAAGGTATTTTTTGATTTATCAGCAGTCATTGTCAAGTTGACAATATACAAGGTATTTTCTAATTAGTCTAAAAACATTTTGATGTGATTCCTCATGTGTTCCTTAAAAACCAATTTTTATATAAAACCAATTTTCTAAATTACATAAATAAAAAAAAAAAAAAATGTAAAAAATTAATATAAAAATCGATTTTTTTGCTTGAACATAAATGGTACACCACTGTTTGTTCTTAAAGAAATATATTTTACTTGGACTGCATTTCCTTTTTCAACGAAGATGAATCTTTGAGTTTTTCTTGCTCATCAAACGGTTGTCGAGAAACAAAAAAATAAAGATACTTATTAAGAGCCCTCGCGCTTCATCCATTTCTAATGATTTTTATTTTTTAAGATTTAATTAGGAAACACCGGTATATGTATATCACAGGCAACCAAAATAAACTAGTAACCTCTAAAAATTATCTTTCCTACCACTAGCGACCGATACCGTGATTTTTTGTTACTAAATTTATTTTATCACAGATTCACCAATAATTTCCGAGCAATGGCTATGGAGCACATGTTTCGATTTATTCGAATCACTAAGAATTTAAACGACTAATAAAAATATAGGATTTCTCTTTCACATGCGCAGTAGGGAACCGCAACGGTTTGAACGGCAGCAGACGGCCGCCATGTATGTTCAAGAGAGCATAGTAAAGGATATATCAAAAGCCTAGAAGTCTATTAAACATACCTTGGTTTTCCTAGCGTTGCTAGCTCCTCGCCTTATAATGGGAATCCGTTGTCGACGTATATCTGCGGCTGTGTATGTTAAGATTTAATCTACATATCTATCGTTGCCTAATTGATGAAGTATGGGGTATGTCCAGTATACCGCTCCTTAAAATATTTGCACTTAAAGGAAATTTCCGGCGCCCGCGTCTCGCCGCACACTGGTTCGTTTTTACAAACGTACGTGGCTAAAATCTGTATCAATGAAAAGTAATGAATCACTTTATAGGAAAACGAACAAGTGCGCGGGGGGCCGCGGACACCAAACGTCGCCGTCGCTAGAAAATCGCACCTTAAGACTCACCCTCGTGCATCGCAAGTGCATAAACTCCTTAACAGCACTACTTGCTATATGAATTGTAGTATTATATAGAAATATTATACTAGAATTGTTGAAGTGTAGCCCTTAATTATCACTGGTCTGATACGTCATGCTAACAGCTCTCGTCTTACCAATTCTCTAATCAGATTATGCTCGTCGCTCATGTCGGTCCTGAATAATGCTCTCTGTACATCTGAATTCGTGTTGCGGTCTCTAGTGATACTTGGGCCGTTGCATCAATACGCCGTTTAACGTAGCTCCTAAAATAAAAATCAGTTTGCGGTACCTAGGTCGACTCAGCCTTTAAATAAGTACTTTGGGATTCACAATCCTGAGTAATAATAGGCGGTTGAAACGTAGTGCTAGCCACATATCCTTCCGCGTGTATACCCGAACGGCTCTAGTATGGCAAAGCTGTACCTTACTACTCGTCTCCAAGGCCAAACATAAACGCGTAGGATACCGCCGGAGCTATTATTATTATATCAGAATTGTATGTCTGAGAAATAGACAACCTTTAATAATGATTTCTAAACACTATGATTCTACATCGTATTATGATTGAGTATATAACGGGCAATCAAATTTAAAATATAAAAGAGTAATTTATTTCTTTCTCAACATTTTTATTTTAGAACATAATTCAACAACGAACAGCCTTGACATTAATACGATCCTTGATCACTGGGGGTGCTACACCAGAATTAGAACTGATTTTAGCAGAAGGTGCTGGTCGGGTGTGGGTTAAGGGAGGATCAGTACTCGCATTTCCTACGACCCTATGTAACAAAGCAAACCCTATTTTTCCTTTATAGTATAACTCCGAAAGTTTATCAAACAGAGATCGATGCAGAGTAGGCCAAATCTCCCTCTATGACGGTCCTCTGGCTCAGTTTGGCGAGACGGGGAAGTACGGCGATCTTTTCGTAGCAGCCCTGAAGCAGTTCGGAATGTTATGCATTGGATTGTACCGATTTAGGGATACGAGTTCATCCTGTGACGCGAGTAGCAAGAGATACGTCATCACCAACCCGCCAGACGATTTTCAGTTGTTGCCTACCGATCAAGTAAAATCGATATGTTTTTATATATTGATATTAACAGATACCTACATAAAATATTATATTTTTATATAATAACAGTGTACTATTTCTGACTACTGAGCACGATATTATGAGTCTCAATTACGCACGGGTTCTTAGTACTAGCCACTGTACTTTCGGTCGCTCTCAGGGATCGGTAAGTGGGTGTGTGAGCGAAGGAAATATATATTATATTTCAGAAATCCGGTTGCGTGTGAGAGTGCTTGGACCTCCTGATTCCTGTCGCGTTAAATCTCCTCTCGT